CTGAGTTAATACGTATGAAGTGCCTAGAACAGTGCCTGGCACAATTGCAGGGAGGCCACTTAGGAGGTTGTGGCCAGGAGCCAATGAACTGGGGACGGGGATGAGGACACAGTCTGGGGACAGCATTTTGTGACTGACCTGCCATGGCGATGCTGGAGATCTAGCTTGACTCTGGATTCTGAGTCTGGGGACAATCCGGGCAGCAAGCGTTTGGGGGACAGTGATAACGTAATCCGAGGGCCAGCCCTGGAGGAGGAGCTGGATCCAAACAGAAGATGACGGAGTTAGCTGGGTGACCAAGTAAGATGTGCCGGAAGGCGGCTTGGCCGAGATGTCCAGAGAGCGGGCTGTAAACCTCCTCTCGTCCACCTCAGAAGTGGTTTGCCACGTTATCTCACAGATTTCCGAATTACCATGTTTAGTATTCACTGAGACTCCTCCTGTAGCCATTCCACAGTTGGTGGCATTTCCCCTTTTGCTCTGCTGTCACCGAGATGGCTGTTCCTCAGAGGTGCTTTGTAGCAGCTGCTTAGAATCCTAGGTCAAGAGGCCTGTGAGGGAGGCCCAGAGCCCCACAGAGAGGCCCCAGGTCCGCAGGTCTCTGTGCTCTAGGTCTGATTCCTCACCGGCGGGATGCGCTTGCCTGAGCCTGGGGCCTGGAAAACAGCCACTGTGGCATAGAGCAGTGGCTCCCAGTGGCTCCCGGACCTTGGGACTTCACAGCCCAGCGAAATGCCAAGACAGAAATAAAACCCAACAAAGCTTCTGGGGATAGGACCGCCAACTTTTTATTTCACCAAGTAGTCATAGTAAAAAGAAAGCATTTAGGAACTGTCATTTCGTAAAAGAAAGGGCACCGTTAATACCAGAGCGATAGGCAGGGCAGTCTTTCCAGGAAACAGCAGTGGGACTGTAGGCCCACGGACATGCTTTAATGGGGTGTTTAAACTAAAGTCAGGTGCAGGCCAGTGACAGCGAAAGCCAGTGTCCCTGTCTTTTGTTGTTGTTGTTGTTGTTGTTGACTTTTTATTGCACTGATCACATGTCACAGCTGAGAATACACTGTGTATCATTGGTCTGACTCAGAAGCATTGTCCCTGTCTTGTCTAGTTCAGTCCTATGGGGGAGGTGAGACCAAAGTCACATGCCACTGTGCTGAGCGCTGTGGGAGCAGGTGACGGGATTGACCTGCCTGGAGGTCAGGGAGGCTTCTGGGGGAGCGAGGACCCATCTGAGGGCTGGGTATGGATGTGGGTTGCCAGGAAGGGGCCTGGCAGAAGCAAAGGCCCTGGGGCCGACATGGAGTTGAGGAAGATGAGAACCAGCAGTGTGGCCAGACGGCAGGGCGGGAGAGAGGCTAAGTAGTGGTGAAATAAGGCTGAGGAGATTGCCCAGCGTGCAGCCTTATAGATGCAGCCAGCGTTTGGGTTTATCCTAAGAACAGTTGAGAGGAGTT